TTGTTAATCTCTACACAAAAAGTCCTTGGGGCATTAATTGGGGTTGCATCTAATCTGTAGATCAGTTAGGGGAGAACTCACATCTTAACCCTGAGCATCCTGGTCCATGAATTTAGCACACCTTTCCATCTCACGAAGGCTTTTTGAAATTTATTTCAGCAACGTCTCTCAGTTCGCAGTAGACAGGGCTTGCACAGCTTTTGTCAAGATGCCTCCCAAACTAATTCACAGCACAGAACGCTATTGATAGATGCTATCTGCAGTTCTCAGGGATCCATTGTTGGTTGTCAGTATATAGAAATACAATTATTTTTTGCATATTAACTTTTTACCGTGTAATCTTGCTAAACCGACTTAGTTCCAGAAGGGCTTTTTTGTTGTTGTGCATTTCCTGGAATTTTCTATTTATTTCCGTCTTGTCTTCTGAAAAAATAGGGGCAGTTTCATTGCCTCTCTTTCTGTCTTTGTGTCTTTTTCTTGCCTTCTTGCACGGACAGGCTCCGAGTACGATGCTGAGTAAGGATGCCCAGAGAGGATGTCGCTGCTCTGTTCCTGAGATTAGGGGGAAGCATTCAGTCTTACACGCTGAGTATGATGTTAGCCGTAGGGTTTTTGCAGAAGCCCTCTATCAGGCTGAGGAAGTTCCCTTTTAGTCCTAGTCTGCTGAGAGGTTTTGTTTCTTTTTAAATCAGAAATGGATGTTACATTTTGTCAAATATTTTTTTCTGCATCTATGTAGATGAGCATCTTTGTGACACTGTGAATCACACTTATTGATTTTCGAACTTTAAACCAATCTCGCGCTTTGTCATTTTGTATTTCTGCTTCGGCATTGTTGGATTTGTTCAACACACTTTTGTTTATAATTTTTACATCTGTGTTCATGAGGGATACTGGTCTGTAGTTGCTGGGGTTTTTCCCTGTAATGTCTGTGTCTGGGGTTGGTATCAGGGTGATGATGCTCACCACCCAGGTGAGTGGGACGTATTTCTTATTTTTCAGGAGGGATTGTATAGAGTTGATATGGTCCTTTCCTCAGGTGCTTTGCAGAATGCACATGCGTTTTCTCTGTGGGAAGATTTCTAACAACGTGTTCAGTGTCTTCAAAAGACAGGGGGATAATCAGGCTACATAGTTCTCGTCCATTTCATCTAAGTTTATAGAATTTATTGGCATCGTGTCATTCATAATATTCCCTTATTATACTTGTAGTATTGCTGTGACCTGTCGTAAAGCTCTCTTTCTCATTCCTGATGTTAGTGATCCGCTCCATCTCTTTTCCATCTGAACAATCTGGTTAGGGGTTTAAAAATTATCTCGATATTCTCAAAACTCCGCAGTTTGATCTCTATTCATTTCCTTCTTCTATTTCATTGGGTTTTTTCCTTTTATGTTTATCATTTCCTTTATTTTGTTACTTGTGGTTTAATGTGCTCTAGTTTCTAAAGGTGGGATCACAGATCATTGTGTCATTTAGAGCCAAAATTTTCCTTCTAAACATCGCTTTAGCTGCATCCACTAACTTTGATATTTTTTTTATTGAAGTAGAGTTGATTTACAATGTTGTGTCAGTTTCTGGTGTATAGCAAAGTTATTCAGTTATACTATATACAAATTTTTTTTTCAGATTCTTTTCCACTATAAGTTATTACAAGGTATTGAATATAGTTCCCTGTGCTGTACAGAAGGACCTTGTTGTTTATCTATGCTATACATGGTGATTTGTATCTGCTAATCCCAAACTCCCAATTTATCCCTCTTCGTCTTTCCCCTTTGGCAACCATAAGTTTGTTTTCTATGTCTGTGAGCCTGTTTCTGTGTTATGAATAAGCTCATTTGAATCATTGTTTAGATTCCACATATAAGTGCTATCATGTACTATTTGTCTTCCTCTGTCTGACTTACTTCACTTAGTATGATAGTGTCTGGGTCCATCCATGTTGCTGCAAATGGTATTATTTCATTCTTTTTTATGGCTGAGTAGTATTCCTCTGTGTGTGTGTGTGTGTGAGACATCTCCTTTATCCATTCCTCTGACAATGGACATTTAGTTTGAGTTCATGTCTTAGCTATTGTAAATAGTGCTTCTATGAAAACTGGGGAGCAAATAAGCTGTCAAATTAGAGTTACCTCTGGATATATGCTCAGGAGTGGGATTGCTGGATCATATGGTGACTCTATTTTTGGTTTTTTAGGAACCTCCATATTGTTTTCTGTAGTGGCTGCACCAATTTACATCTCCACCAGCAGTGTAGGAGGGTTCCCTTTTCTCTACAGCTGCTCCAGTATTATTGTTTGTGGATTTTTTAATGATGGCCATTCTGACTGGCATGAGGTGATACTTTATTGTCGTTTTGATTTGTATCCCTCTGATAATTAGTGATATTGAGTATCTTTTCATGAGCCTATTGGCCATCCGTATGTCTGTTTTGGAGAAGCGTCCGTTTAGGGTTTCTGCCTTTTTTTTTGAATGGGTTGTTTCTCTTTTCTAAATTTTTAGTGTCGTTATTGAGTTGTATGAGCTATTTGCATATTTGCATATTTTGGAAATTAAGCTGTTATCAGTCACATCATTTGCAAATATTTTCTCCCAGTCCATAGGTTGTCGTTGTGTTGTTTAAGGTTTCCTTTGCTGTTAAAAAGCTTATAAGTTTACTTAGGTTCTGTTTGTTTATTTTTACTTTTATTTCTAATGCCTTGGGAGACTAACCTAAGACAACACTGCTATGATTTATGTCAAGGAATGTTTTACCTATGGTCTCTTTTAGGAGATTTATGGTGTCCTGCCTTATGTTTAAGCTATTTTGAGTTTATTTTTTGCGGCTGGTGTGAGGGAGTGTTCTAATTTCTTTGATTTACAGGCAGCTGTCCAGCTTTCCCAGCACCACTTGTCAAAGAGACCATCTTTTCTCCATTGCATATTCTTGCCTCCTTCATCGGAGATGAGCTGACCAGCGGTGTGCGGGTCTATTTCTGGGCTCTCTGTTCTTTTCCATTGATCCATAT